TGGTTATGGGATCAATGCTGCAGCTGTTTTCCCGGTGGAGCAGCTGAGGAACTGGGTTCCTTAAAGCATAAGAGTGTGTCAAGCAATACAGTGCAGACGGGCTGGGAGTTCAGACTAGAGCATTGTTTTTCCAGTGCCGGATTGGCTTTGTTAACATGCTAACAGTGTAAGCTGGACATATTCTGCTTTATATAAAAGCTGAGGTTCAGCCTCCTCCCGTTTGCACAAACAGTCCCTTCGGGCCTGGATTCTTATTTTTGTTGAGGTGGATGAACGGTGGGTACGTTTGTCTCTCGCTAGTTCAATAATGAAGCATAGGTGAAGGCTGGAGCAGGGCAACTCATCAGAACTGGTCCAGGTGCTGTGTGACATCCTGGCCTCTCAGCACGAGGGGCAGCTCATGCTCTCTCCACAGACCCCTGCTCATGAGCTGCGAATTCCTCTTGGTGGTGCAGCTGCCTGAGGAGTAGCTGTTTTTGCTGAGGCTGAAGCACCGGCTCTTATCTTAGCAGGACCTTCTCACCCAGCTTGAAGTGTGGGGGAAGAGGCTGCCCAGGTGTCTTGATGCTTTCCAGAAATGTGAAAAGTAAGGTGAAGATCTGGGCACTTAACTGGGGAAGAAAAGCCACTGCCAGGAACCCTCCAACCCTGCAAGGAGGAGCATAGGACTCTTCTAAGTGGGGGTGAGTCTGAGCATTAAAGGAGGGGTTATTGGCTATAAGGGGGTGTAGGCTCTGGGCTGGGGCCAGAAATGAGGGGTTCAGGGTGTAGGAGGAGACTCTGGGGCAGGAGTTGGGGTGGGCTTTAGCTGGAGGTGCAGGCAGGGCCGGCTTTAGGAAGTGCGGGGCCCAATTCACGGGGGCGGGTCCGCGCATGTGCCACGTGCCCAGGAGCGGAGCCCTTTTGGGAGCGGGGCCCGATTTGGGGGAATCAGCCTAAAGTCGGCCCTGGGTGCAGGCTCTGGGGTGGCGCTTAGGATGAAGGTTTTGGGGTGCAGGTGGGTGCTCCAGGCTGGGGGGGAGGTTAGGGCCAAGAGGTTTGGCATGCAGGAGGGCACTCCAGGCTGGAGCAGGAGGTTGGAGTGTGGGAGGTGAGGGTTCTGGGGCTTGGGGAGCTGAGTTCTGGGATGGGGTGAGAAATGAAAGGTTCAGAGTGTAGGAGAGGGCTCTGAGCCAGGGCAAGGGGGTGGAATGCAAGAGGGAGGAGTGAGGGCTCCAGCTGGGGAGGTGAACTCCAGGGCGGGAGGGGGGTCTAGTGATGAGGGTGAGGTGTGGGAGAAGGTTCCAGATTGGAGTGGAGGGGTTTGGAGTGTGGGAAGGAGCTCAGGTCTGGGGCAAGCAGACTAGCGTGTGGGAGGGGCCTTGGATGCTGGCTCTGGGAGGGAGTTGCATGCGGAAGGGGGTTCCAAGTGGGGGTAGAGGATTGGGTGTGGGAGGAGTTTGGGATCTGAGCACTGAGCCATGTTGACCTCAGGTGGCTCCTGAGGAGGGACAACATGTCCCCTTGGCTACCAGGTGGATGGGCCAGGGGAATCTGTGCACTGCCCCTGCCTGCAGGCACTATCCCTGCAGCTCTCACAGGCATCCGTTTCCAGCCCGTGGGAGCTGTGGAGCTGACACTGGGGCCATGCTGGCCACCCCTCTGCCTAGGAAACCAAGAGACGTGTTTGCTTTTCCCCGGCCTTTTGTGGAGCCAGGAATGGAGCCTGCCAGCCCTGCTGTGGCTGTGCCCACCCCAACTTTTAATGGCCTGGTCAGCTGTGCTGCACTGCTGCCTGGGGCTGCCAGGGTCTCTTTTCATCAGGCATTCCAGTCGACAGCCAGACACCCGCCCCCCCAGCCACAGGCGATTGATCCATTCCCCTGCAAGCCACAGCTGCAGAATCCTGCCCAGCCAGGTCCTGGCTCTCAGCCCTGGGGAAGGGGTCCCACAGGGAGGCACTGAGTGATGGCTGGTGCTGTGTTGCAGACTTACACCAGTGCCCTGCCTCTGTACCAGGGAGCGACATGAGTACCCCCTGCCACAGGTACTTGCTCCAGCTCCCCACCTGTACCTCTTCCTGCTCCCTGGCCTCCCCCTGTTCTTCTCCCCCCTCTTTTTGAGAACCTGAAATATGGTAACTCTGTGAATGGGGGCTAGGGAGAGGATGTGACTTTTTTAACCCTTCCTGCACTCTACCTATAGACTGACGTCAGCTTTGTACTCCCCTTCCCTCCTATTCTGTTCCTATTTAACGCAGACTGCTGCTTCCCTGCCTGTCTGCTTACTTCTGATACCCCCTTCCTGGTTAGTGTAGCCTGGGCTTGCTGTGTGCACCAGGAGTGGGGAAGTTGTGTACATTCTCCCTTCCCCCTCCCCACAAAGACAGTTTGGGCTGCCCAAGAAGCAGTGCAAAGTTTTTAGAAACACTCTTACCTCTGGCTGTGCGTGCAGTACCTGTCGGCCTGGTGTCTCTTTATTTGCCAAGTCACAGGTCCTGGTGGGGTTTTCCAAAGTGCTCACCCCTGGCCTAATGCTACTCCCACAGCACTCACTGGGCAAACTCCCCTCCTGGGCATGTTCTTTCAAAAAGGCAAAGTGGGCACAAAATTCGGAACGTTGCCTGTGACAGTCCAAGGCATGTACTGCACCTGTACTACACGGGTGTATAAGAAAAAGGCCCAATTTTGCATTAGTGTGTTTGGTGTAGGCTTGTTTGATGTAAAGCAGTAAGTAAGCACCAAGCCAGCACTCATGCGGCATGCCCAGTGGATGGAGCAGATGCTGCTGATCGGGTTACTGGTCTGTAGCTCCCCCTTTTAACATAAATAACATTAAATTGGCAGGCTGCCTTCCAAGGCCAAGGAAAGATTCTTACAAGGCTCCAGCAAAGAGTGGGTATTGCCTGAGGAGGGACAGATGGCCCTGTAGCTAATTGACCAAGGGGTCAGGAAAGCCATTGCAAAGCATCACTTGGGTCTATTGTGTGGGAGCGGCAGTTCAGCAAAGCCTTTGTCTTTGAGAGGCCGTGACTGGGTGCCAGAGGCACAGCAGAATCTGCAGCGGCAGGGATTTCTCTTTGTCTCTGTTGCGCTGCTGCAGCCCCTCTTGTTTTGTTTTAAAAAATGACCGGTAGCTAGGGACTGCTGCTGTGCCGATAATACATGAGACGTCACGTAGTGTGGCGTTGAGGAAGGTGATTTTAGGGGTGTGTGATAGATTGGTACCCTGCATGGCTGCTCCAAGATGCATCTCCTTTTGCCTCTGCCCCCTCCAGGGCTCACCCAAAGGACAGCACCATAAACCTATTGAACTACCTAAGTCCCTTTGAGGAGCTGCCAGCAACCTGGGTAGTAGGAGCAAGTGGTGGCTGGGGGGAGAGTTGAAAAAAAGGGAATCCAGCAGTTTAAGTAGAAGAGGTAAGATGTGGCAGGCCTGGAGCCCTGAGGGCAGGGACTTTGTCGTCCCCCCCCCGCCCCCCGGGACCTTGCCTTAGCTCCACCCATTTGCCCCAGTCCAGCTGGGTGGCGGGAACGCATGGTAATGAGAAACGCTCTAGTTACTTGCAAGCTTGAGTGTTACATTTTAAAGAACAGATGCAACTTAAAATTCTGAGAACTGGCTCCACAAAGGGGGGGGGCAGGGGGAGGGGGGGGGTTAGTGTCCACTGCATCACAAAACAGTTAGGTGCCCTGCAAAATGGTGGAATTCAGACCCCTCCCCCACACACACTCTCCCAAGTTTAGGCCCCTGCTACATTGCAGGGGCAGAGTTACGTGCCTAAGAATGGGATTCACAAAAGCCTGCACTCTGCACAGAGAGCTGCCTAAAGTAGCCAAGAGGAAATGTGGAAGGGCAGGGGGGAGACAAAAGGGATTTACGCTCCACCAGTGCTGTGCACCTTGTCACTTAGGCTATGTCTAGACTGCAAGCCTCTTTCGAAAGAGAGCGTCTAGACTGCACGCGGAACTTTCGAAAGAGCAAGCCGCTTTTTCAAAAGAAAGCACCCAGTGAGTCTGGATGCTCTCTTTCAAAGAAGCCCTATTTACATTCAAGAACGCCTTCTTTCGAAAGAAGCACTTTCGAAAGAAGGCGTTCTTCCTCGTGAAATGAGGTTTACCGCCGTCGAAAGAAAAGCCGCGTTCTTTCGATTTAATTTCGAAAGAACGCGGCTGCAGTCTAGACGCAGGTGAAGTTTTTTCGGAAAAAGGCTACTTTTCCCGAAAAAACCCCTGAGTCTGGACACAGCCCAAGTGACAGTCACAGCCCTGTGTTAGACTGGAGCGAAGGGCTTCGCATTTGTCAGCCCTCTGCTGGAGTTATGGGCCTGTGCATTTTCTCATAAATGAGAAGGAGGAAGTGGTGATCGGTTTCCCTTGTAATCTGTAGCCTAGTGGTTGGGGCTCCCACACCCTGCGTGAATCTCACCTGTTGGAGCTGTGGAACGTTAAGTAATTAAATACTTAATTGTCCCACAGAGCAAGTAAGAATGACACTGAAGTCCAATGGTTAGGGACTGATCTGAGAGGTAGGAGACCCAAGGCCTTTCTCCACGGCAGGTGAGGGGGACTTCAACATTGTGCTTTAAGTGCTGGGGTCCTCCACCATCCTTATGAGGTAGAACAGCGTTATTATAATTCCTAATGAGTAACAGACAGATTAGGTGAGTTACCCTGAGTCACAAAGGAAGTCTATGGGAATTTGAACCTAGATTTCCTATATTGTAGGTTAATATGCTAACCAATGGACCATCCTTCCTATGGGTAGGGCAGAGGAAGACAGGATCACCTACTTTTACGCAAAGGCAAAGAAACCAAGAAATAATGTGAGACTCACTGGTTTGAAGTCCTCTGGGGGATCCACTAACAAACCTCAATCACTGTAGCCCTCATCGTATGAATACTATTAAAAATCTTACCTCGCTTGAAACATAACGAGTTAGAGAATGTGACACAGTCTTTGTGGGCTGACAACTTTATTCATCTGAAGAAGTGGGTTGTGCCCACGAAAACTCATGATACCATTACATGTTTTGTTAGTCTTTAAAGTGCTACCAGACCATTTGTTGTTTTTTCAGCTTTATTTAGGCCTTGTTATAAACTCTTGGCCATGGCCCTGAGGGCTGAGCCTGATTCTCCTCTGACCAACACTGGTGCACAGAAGGGATGCCATTGACACCAGTAGAGTCTGTCAATGTAAAACTAGCGCACACGAGAGAAGATGCATGATTTAAGCCTCAGCTTTTAAAGAGTGGCCTCTTTAACACACACTGGGGGGTTGATTATTCCCCCACAGCTATCACAGGAACCATGGACAATCTATACCGCTGAAAATCAGGACTACGGTATTCTAAGATGGGCCCTCTAAACGACGGGTTTTTTGGGGGAAGTACCTTATATGCATGTGGCCACTGTCAAGTGACAAGTAGTAACAAAGTACTGAAACCTAAACTAGTTGGTAGAGTCATACTTTAAAGTATATTTCATCCCTATCAGGTGGCACTGGAGGGGAGGGAGCTGTTCCATATGCCAGGTTTGTTACCTGTTTCAACATAGAAAAAAGGAAACACATAAATGTAAAGGCACTCTGAAGCTGTAATGTATGCAAATTTATTCACCTCTGCAATTACTTATCTACAGTTGATGACTGATACCAAAAATGAGGTAAAAATATGAGGTATTAATAATAGTATAACATTTCAAAATGGACTTGTTATAGTGTATTCCAAATGGCAGCATAAAATGTAATATAAAATACTGTAGTGCCTGACTGGTAGACATGTGCCTTTGATCAATACATTGCATACAGATGCTATAAGTGCATCCACAAAGCCTCTGCTCCCCTTCCTCCCAACCATGCAGGGTCCCTTTGCCATTTTTGTAATTACAGTAGGCAATTCCTCCAGCTGATTATCTAAGAATAAGACAACCTGGCCTCGTCTGCTACATTTTTCTTTCAGAAATTATTTGTTTCCAGTGCCTTGATTATTCTGTGATGATTAATACACAGGAAGTGTTGTAGACTCTTATGTGAGCTCACATATGATAAGGGCATTGAGGCCTCATGCTTCAGCGAATAGGCTGCATGGGGGTAGAGTGTGGCAGCAAAAATTTCCTTCTCCCTGTAAAATACTGCTCAGGTGGCTGCGTGCCTTATGAGGCAGCATGCCTTGAAGCTTACAATAATTATGATGGCTGACAGCAGGAAACTGATCTTGATTCACCAGTGATCTAATCCACAATGGAAAATCTTTTGTTCTTGAACCTGGAAAATAACAAGGCAGTGTGGCAGGATATTTGGAGGCATATGAAGGTATCTCGGTACTCTTATCTCTCTAATACTTCTTATTAATGTAATTGTACATTGCTGACGACAAACACAACACAGCAAAGGTAATCTAAGCAGATTCAAAGTATTGGCAGTGTCACTGTGTGAAGCCATTACTCCAGCACTACTGAATGATATAAATCTCAGCACCTAGAAGTAGGATGATAAATCTCATAGAATTAAACTCACCATAAATGAAGGTAGAAGGCATTTAAAGATGTGAACTAAAATACTGGTTCCAAATGACCAAACTAATTAATGCAGCAATAAATAAAGTCGGGGTGAACAAATACCTGACTACTGAAGGAGCACTGTATTGACTGACCTGTGGGAGTTTTTTTAAGTGATTCATGTCTATAGTTACATTTTTGGTTTTATGTTAGTTTAAAAACAGAACATAACCCTTGTCTCATAGCTAACAACCATTTTTAAAGCATTCTTCCACTTAACAAAACATTAAGTCCCTGCAAATGAAAGGGGCCAGTAGATGTAATCCTGTTCCTCTTCTCAACACATCAGTGCATAAAGTGAAAATGTTTGCTCTTACCAAAAAAGCTATTTTCCCAGAAATTAGTTACTTTTTATAGTGAAAATATATAAAAAGGTATAATTTTTAGCTGCCCATCTGGGGTGGAAACACTGCTTTGGATTTTGGTTAACAATTAAATAGCTTGACAGAAGAAAGAAAGAACAGCTCCCAAAGTACATACTTAGCCAGAAATCTAAATGAAAGACTTCAGAGCGGTAGTCCTTAATAAGTGTTCACCTGGAGTCAAATTGGTAAGTTAAGGTTACCTTGGTATCGGCAACATTCCTTTGAACTGTCCTAGACTTAATATAGGAAGCAGCTTTACTACTGCAAATGGTGAGGGCCCCTAACTGCAACTATTTACTCAGTTGTTTAAGGTTACAGGGAAGTTTGAGCGCTATCATGGAGCAGTCACAAACTTCCAACCATTTATTGTAAATGGTCTTCGAAATGTGCTCACCAAGTACAATATCCATGTTAGCATTTTTGGGATGATACTGAACTGCTGTTCATTATTCTTAAACATAGAATTATCCTTTCTATAGTCCCTATATCTATCTATGTACCTTCTTGTAGTTTACACCCCCTCCCCCCCCACACACAACACGAATGAGAACAGTCAAGCATCCATTTTTGTTAGATATCACACAGATTATGTCATGTAGCTCTCTGGTAACAGCAAACACAGTTTATATAGCTGTGAAACACTGAAAAACAAGCAACAAGAACAGGTCCATATAAGGTCAAAATTGATGATTTCTTCTAGAAAGCACTAAATTATATACAAAATAATTACTTTACATATACATATAGATATATAATATACATAGATAAGTATATACAAATTGTACATTGTTAATTTACAGTTAAAATATGCTTCTTGGAAGCTTTTAAATAATGTGAATTATGCAACACACAAACAATGGTAATAGTCTCATTGTAAAGTAACTGCTGAAAGCTTTTTTTAAAAAAAGGTTTACTTCAGTAATTGAAAAGAACACAGAAGAGCTGGGGCAACAGGTGGGCAAAGTCTCTGGAATGAGCAGGCCTTTCTGTGAAATCCCTGTTTGGCCACGGTACAGACATGAGGTCATACTTCTATCCTTATTCAGACCTTTGCGTTGGGTCTTTCTGCTGTCTCCCATCCTCTGCTCTAGGTTCACACATTGCTGGAACGTTTCCTCAGATTTTGGTTTCTGGCCCCTCAGCAATAAGAGGTTGAAATGAGTTTCTGACCCTGGCAACTTCCGCGGCACACAAATGCCCAAAGACCTTGTTGTACCACTCTGGGGAATGGCCTCTGAGGAAACGAAAGAAAACAAAATTACTGAAAAATTCTGCTTCACTGGCGTGGGATTGCCATGTGCTCAAGTTCTTGATACTTCATCCTCACTGAACTCCCACGGTGCTGGTGCAGCGCCTGAGATGCTGTATCATCACCACCCCCCGTGTACTTTGAAGACTCTCCAGTCCTATTCTCAAATTTACATTTGTGAATAGTAAATACAGTAATATCAATTGGATAGTAGCAGCAGTTGGGTGGTGAGATGAGCCTGGTCATGCTGGCTGTTGTGAACAAGTAAAACCCGTTCTCTGATCTTTACACTGGCTTTTCCCTATAGCGTATCCAGTGAAGGTCTCAGGCCCTATCCTCAAGGTGCTCAGGGTTGCTAGATCTGCTAAAACGCCATGATGGAGAGTGCTATTGGCAACTTTGCTCCTCTGCCACAATTGAACTCTTCACAGTCAGAGCTTGGCTGCATGGCAGACAGAACAGTCTTAGGGCCTAGTCCAAGAAATGGAAGGAACTCCAGGACCTATGGTCCATCACAAACCTCACCAGCTTCCACTCCAATTGCAACATTTCTTTGACTATGCCTTAGCTAAAACTATAGTGCTATTAGGAATGTTAAAATGCATGTGATTGACTAACTGTGTAACCACTGAAAGTTTCAGCAGTTACATGCAAGGTGGCAGCCAGCTCCCCGCATGCAGATACAGAGGCAGAAGCACAGGATGGCAGTTGACTCCCCAGGAGCCAGTGTGCACCAGGAGCTGGCTTAAAAGCTGGCTCTTGGTGCTCATCAGCTCCCCCCCCCACCCCCCCCCCGGATGCAGAGGCAGCAGCACAGGGTGGCAGGCAGCCCCCCAGGAGACAGGCTGGGAGCCGCGTGTAGCTGTTTGGGTAACCAATAAGCTCATGCTTATTGGTTACCCATTTAAATGGCTTCACTATTACATCCCTAACTGCTATCTATTAAAAATAACCCACAACCATACACACGCCACTGCACTCAATTCACGAGGGAACAAACACATGACGGATGTTAGTCATGTTGCTGAATGCACCATTGGAATGTGCTCAGATGCGATGGTAATAAATGCCCAAAATAAGAGCCTATGCAGGATACAATTTGTGCTCCATTATTAGCATACCTGCATGAAATAAATGCTACAATGAACTATGATGCAGCTACCATAGATTTTTCTTGTATGGTAAAAGAGCAATTCTTTTATATAATGTGATTCTGCAGAAATGCAGACTGGGAGTCGCTGTTTGCCTTTCAATTATTTCTATTGTGTTTGGCTTAGCATTTTCTTTCTTGTAACTGCTGTCCCTGCAAATTCAATTGAGTTCTTTCATTTTTATATATCATATAACCAATGACAATTCTCCAGGCCAAATGAGGCTCCACTTGCTCTGGGGCAGCCCTATGATCTTCAAACACAGTCCTCAGTGCAAAGCTACATGGCCTTCTGCAGTTTTGCATCAACGTAACTGAGTAGAGCTTAGTAAACAATGCTGCAAATGAATCCCACAAAGAAACAGACTCTGGCTCTCACTCTCTGAGCTGTGTTGGCACTGCAGGTCCAACAGGAGTAAATAGAAGTAAAGCCATATTTGTGTCACTAATATGAGCAGCTATGACCCTGAATATGCACCAGGAGCAGAGCTGTTCAGGAAGAAAATGCCGTTTTCAGTCACTTTTTGGAAGAGAACAGCACTTTTTATTTCTTATCCTGAGCCATCAATCTTTTCAAAGTAGCATTTTTTCAGGAAATGCATTAAGTCCCTGTAAGCTACCAGAAAAAGGGCTGAAAGTGTCCTCTATTATGACGCTGGCTGCAACCAGGAAATAGTACAGCTCTTGTATTACTACTAGGAATGCACCACTGCCCTCTCTTGCAGAGATTTTTGGTTTACTGAGGGGATGGCTCTGATCTTGCTTTCTGCAGGTGTGGTACTTACTTCAGATCAATTCTACAGACATGTGTCAGCCTGGATTTTCCTGAGCCACAAGGCTCTATTAAATACTGAGAATCCATCACCACTGCTCGTACACCCCCCATCAAAGGAGCTTCTTCATGTTCCACAGAGACTGCCACTAGTGTGCACACTCCTTTTGGCAAATCTGTTCTCCATGTCCTGTCATGAGACATTTAAGAAAGAAAGAATCACGTGCAGAGAAAGAATGAAAGCACCAAGTAGTGTAGAAAACGAGAGCTAGATTCAGAAAGTTTGGTTGACTCACAGACTAATGATTATACATGGAGCTGTCAAATGATTAAAAAATAATTGCAATGAATCATGAGATTAAAAAATATAGTCATGATTCATTGCAGTTTTAATCCTGCTTAATAATTGAATACTCATTTAAATGTATTATACATATTTTTGGATTTTTTTCTGCATGACATGTTACTTAATATTAATTTCATTCACAACACAGAATACAAAGAGTACATTGCTCACTTACTATTTTTTATTACAAATATTTTCATTGTAAATAAGTAAAAGAGGCCCCCCCACCCCAGCCCCATCGGCCCTCAGAGCCAACCAGAGCATGTGGCATGGGTCTCTGAAGCGTGCTGTCCAGTACGCCAGCAGCGATTCTAAAGGGCCCAGGACTCACTGGGCCCTCGGGCAATTGCTCCTTCCCCCACCCCTGGTCGGTGGGCCTGAAGATAAACAAAAATATTTTTCACTTCGCCTCATACAAGTACTGTAATGCAATCTCTTCATTATGAAAGTGCAACATATGTAAGTAGAATTGTTTTTTTTTTTGTTACATAATTGCACTCAAAACCAAAACAATGTAAAATTTGTAATGCCTACAAGCTGGAGCATGAAGGAGCATATGAACATTTAGCATATCTGGCATGTAAATACCTTACCAATGCAGGCTACAACAGTGCCATGCAAATCCCTGGTCTCACTTTCAGCTGACATGGTAAAAAAGACATAGGCAGCACAATTTCCCATAAGTGCGACCAAACTTGCTTGTGTTATGCCACATCTATGCTTATCACGCCAAAGATTGATCTTCTGGTGTTAGATTTAGTAGGTATAGTGAGGACCCACTAAACTGAATGCTGAGAGTGCTTCTGGTCGGTGCCAGTATTCCTTGATTGACAATGAGTAAGGAAAGTTGACAGGAGCATTTACTTTCATTGACCTTCCACTGTGGAACAGGCACTAAGTTCAGCTTAGGGTACATCAGCTCTAGCGATGTTGTTTACATAGCTGGAGTTGCATACCTTAAGCCGACCAGCCAGGTCTGGTATAGACCTGGCCTCAATGTTTGTCTGGACATGAAGTAGAATTGAGCAGACTTGCAGACTCTAAAGTTTCACATTGCTTTGTTTCTGACTGTTAAAAAAAAATTCTGCACTTCCAGGTTCAAGAGATTGCACTACAACACTTATAAGGGACCATTAATTTTGAGTCTTTTGAGATGATGTGATGAAAGGTGCTATATAAATGCAAAGTACTGCATAACAATATTTTTCCTCTGTAATGCTGACATTCATTCAAATATTAATGTCAAACATATGCATTCTTCCACATACCTCAGATATAATTTTTAGAAACATTTTGATACCCTTCTATGATAGCCCTAAATTGAAAAAGTATGAAACTAACATTTTGAAGGTGAGATGGAAGTTAGAAGTCTCATAAAATCAATGATGCACTTCTCTAGAGATGAATAATTTCACTGAACTCAGTTGCTGCCAATTAAGGTGCATTAATTAGGACAAACAATATGATTGGTTAACTTTGCTCAAGCCTTAACACAAATCAAACGTGGTAAAAAAGTTTATTACTCAGTCTCTTCTAGCTTCAGCCCATCATAAACCAGCCAGGATTCCCTTTATGAGGGACGGGGGGAAGGGGAGGGGCTGAGGGGGCGGGGTGGTGCATTCAGTCAGTGATATACAACAGTGTTTCTGAGTCATCCTGGCTAGGTTAATGATGAGAATGAAAACTTGTTCTCAAGATTTTATTTGATGGATGTGACTGCATTGTAGGTTTTTCAGAAACATAAAATACTCTGATGCATCATGAACTGAAAGGACAATAATATGACTCAGAATAAAGATAGTTAAAAACTCCCTACAGCTGCTACACCGTCTTCCTGGGGCAAAATGGGAATACCACAGTGGACCAAATTCATCTCTGGTGTAAATAAAATGAAATTTATAAAGTTATACCTGGGAAAAACTTAGCCCAGTCAGTACATCTTGAGTAGGTAAAGGAAAATATGTAATGTAAATTCTAGTTTTTTCTGATTGTGACGGGCCGACGCTGACCCGCACTCCCGGGGGTCCGGCCGCCCGGGTGGCTCACGCGGTGGCAGGCAGAGCCCACCAGCGCCGAAG